GGGGCGCTGTCCCCCGCTGGGCCGCCCCGGTCCCCATCGCCGCCGCTGCCTGCCGCCGGGCTGCCCTCTGCCAGACCCCCGTCCCCGTCCCGGACGCCACCGCTGCCATGGGGCCGGGGGATGCCGCCTCCCTACAGGTCGCCTCAGCCTCGGTCTCCGCCGCAGTCCCTGACCGGGATGCCCTTGCTGAAGGCCCCACTGCCCTCGACAATCCGGGAGGAGGGACCCACCGCCGGACCCATCCAGTCCCCACTGCTGTCATCAGGCCCCAGGGCGCTGTCCCCCCCCGACCTGGCCCCATCGCGGTCCTTGCCGTTGTTACCCCACACCGACCTGCCCCCATCCCGATCCTTGCCGTTGCTGTCCGCCCCGGAGGTGCTGCCCCCGTCCCGGTCCCTGCAGACACTCCCTGCCAGCTCCTCCTCATCCCCACTGCTTTCATCGGGCCCAGAGGAGCTCCCCGCCACCAGGCTGCCCCCATCGCAGTACAGATCCCTGCAGCAGCTCCCCACCAGGCCATCCCCAGACTTGCCGAGAGGATCCAGGGGGCTGACCCCCAAGGGACCTAACCAGCCTCAAGCCCCGCGGCTGTACGCGTGCCAAAGCCTGACACTGCCATCAGCTGCTGGGATGCTGCCCCCCACCAGGCCATCGCCATGCCAATCCCTGCCACAGTCCCCCACTCTGCCACCCCCACCCCGCTCCCTGCGGCCACCCCTTGCCAGSCCCCCCCCATATCAGTCCTTGGTACCAGCACAGGGCCCCGCAGTGCCCCAAACCCCAGAGAGCCAGCCCCCAGCACCAATGCCTGTTTTCCAGAGCATCAGGCGCCAGCTTGCTTTGTCGGAGGGGCAGGGCACCCCCCTATCAGTGCACGATGACTGTAGGCGGCAGCCCCGCTCCGTGCTCTCCAAGAGCTCCCCTAGGAATGCTGCAAGCCGGGGGCCGTTGGTGCCGCTGGGACAGCGGGAGCACGCCTGGCTGGTGGCAATGTCAGCGGGCTGCTGGGCTCAGGTGCGGGGGCTCTTTCTGGAAGAGCCTGARCTGGCCCTGCAGAAGGACTTCATCTCAGGCTTCACAGTCCTTCACTGGCTGGCCAAGCACGGCGACGGGCCGGGCCTGCAGGAGCTGGCAGCGGCGGCACAGCAGCTTGGGCTGGCCCTGGACGTGGACGTCCGCTCGGGCTGCGGGTACACGCCGCTGCACCTGGCTGCCATACACGGCCACCAGCTTGTCATCAAGGTGCTGGTGCTGCAGCTGGGGTGCCAGGTGCAGGTGCGGGACGGCAGCGGGCGCCGGCCTTGGGAATACCTGGGCAGCTCCACCTCGGGGGAGATCTGGCAGCTCCTGGAGGCGCCCCGTGGTACAATCATGTTCCCCACGCAGCCCCTGGCCCGAAGTGTGTCCTCTGTCAGCAAGGTCTCGCCGTCCACGGGCAGGGCAGCACTGCCTGCCTGCCTCAGGGTGCCGCTCGGCCGTGGGGCAGTGTCCCACCAATCTGGCAGTGACAGTGACTGAGACAGCTCCCTGGCATCCCCTGCCWATGGAGATGGGACCTTGGTGGCCACCCTGCTAGAGGAAGCTGTACATGCAGAACAAAAGCTGTGAAACAGACTGAACCTATTGAATGTACTTYTAAATTATTCCAATGAACTGTTGTCTGAGCCTCTCTGCCCGCCCTCCCATTTCTTGCTTTTCTACCAGTGAAAGGATGCAGAAACTCTGCTGGAAGCAGGCAGAASCCTCAGGAGGCAAGCCCTCTGCAGCCCACAGGGCCAGTACCAGCTACTGGGTGCAGCCATGATGACCAGCATTAGTGGGACCATGCCTTTGGTGTGAGGCTCAAGTCTAGCCCCAGTCAGCGAGGAGCACTTGTTTTTGCTGACAGTGATATTGTTGGTCCTGGGGTTTGCAAAACACTTGTTTACACCACCTAAATTCTGGGGAGTAGTACAACTACATCCCTTTTTAATCCCAGCAGATTAAGGATGAGTCCCTCTTCTAAAAATGCAGCTGATCAAGATCYAGCCTTCCAGCAAGAGTCCTCAGAGAGCAACTGACTGTGGCAGAGGGTGGCAGTAGGGAAGATGTTTCCCAGGCCACMTTACCCACCAGCCCATACCAAAAAGAATGCAGGGCAGCACCACAGCCCTGCTATCCACCACAGCTGCCCAGGGCTGCCCAGCAGCATCCCTGCTGCTCCCTCATTCCTGCATCTCCAGTTGCTCTCCTCACACCACAGGATTAGGAAGTGGTACCTGTGTTGTGGCTAGAGCCCTGTTCCCAAGCCTTGGGACAGAAAGCATTGTGGCAGGAATTCTGTGTTGGCAGAAAAGGAGTTGTGCTGTAGTACAGGTCTCAGCCTTCCAGAGGGAAGGCAGTTTCCTAACCAGAGCTGCATTTTCCCAGAGACCCCAGCCCTAAATTGCTTATTTGATGGAAACAGATTTGGGGGGACAAGTGCAGTCAAGAGATATCCAGTGGAGTAATGGCTCAGATTTTATAAAAATGAGCTGTGCTTAGGAATCTCACTGGATTATGTGGGTCCTCTAATGTACCTTGCTCWCTGATTTAGCATGAATGAGCTTCTAAACTTTTAAAAATTGCAACAAGTCAATYTTGYACCTAATCTGTCTCTCCTCTAWGGAGGCAGGAARAGAGCTAATGTACATGAGCCAGGGMTCCATCGCTGCCAGGYTGATGCTCCTGCTGCTKGGTGACCCCAGGTGTAGGAGCAGTGAAACTGGGACTGCTGGCTCAGCCTCAGTGGGAGGCTTTGGGGCAGAGCAGAGCAGTAGGTGGGACTGGTGGGACTGCTCATGCATTTGAGGCATGGTGTGAATGGCACATGGCATCCTGCAGTTTCGGGGAGGAACGGGAACAAGGGCAGCAGAACCTGACCCTTGCATAACACGCATGCCAGGGAATGCCTTGAGTCCTTGCTCAARCTCTAATTGAGGTCTCTGCTTTGCTTGGGGTTTACTCGAGGGAAGAACTCTTCCCTGCAGAAGGGAAGTTACTCTGCCTGACTATCCAACTACAAAAGGTTGTGGCCTTTTCCCAGCCTGGTTTTCTCCTTTTACAGAGGAATGAGTCCAGTAAACCAAGACAGTGTCCTGTCAATGATCATTCCTCTCTGAGACAACAACACAAATGAACTCATAAGAAATTCAACAGTGAAGTGGCCTCTGAGCCACTGGCATGAGAACATGGAGGGCCCTCCAGGAACTCACCCACAGCAGGAGGAAACCTGTGTATCTCCCTTCCTTTTCAATCCACCTGCAATTTATAGTCTAGGTCAGCACCAACACACAAAGTGGCTGCTGCCTGGTAAAACAATGAAGCCTTTCCACCACATTTAGAGCCATTGCCATAATTCACATCACGCACGAGCCTCCCTTGGGAAAGGGATCCCTAAAGTCTTCCACAAGCCTTGGTTACAATCYCTTAAAAGCAACTTGTTGATGCAGGATATCAGGGGTGCCACCAGATCCTTCCTGTACAGGAAGCTTCACAGAAGGAACCCCAAATGAAAGAAGTTTGTGACCTGACTAAAGCTGTCTGGGGGGAGCATATTTTTTCTCCAAAGACAGCTTCCAAAGAACAGGGTTTTCCCCTTTGTGTCTTCCATGCTAAGACAGTGCTACCTTGGCATTCTCATCTTACAGCCTTTCCCTGACCTTTCTCCGTGACGCAAACCTAAGTGGCACTTTTTTTTTCCCCTGCACACTGTTTCAGACCTCACCCGTCATCTTTTTCAGGGCCCTTTTCTCTCCCAAGCAGTGTTGTCAGACTGCTGAACTAAATAAGTTGTGACCTAATTTTGTGATCACTGTTTGCTTGCCTATTGAGATGACACAGATAAGCTCCTTTTCCAATTTTTAAATTACAGAGCAACTGTTAGGAAGCTGAAAACTTTCCATACAGGATTTAGTGTGCATTCACTCTGGTTTATCATCTAAGTGGTATTAGAAACGCTTATATTGCTAATACTGCACTGTCTAAAAGCAGACAGTCACTACTTGGGAATAACCACTCTTGTAACTCCCAGAAAGCCTCATCCTGCCAAGTTTTCTGCTGGTGGAATAAGCAGTGGACAGGGTGAAACCCATCTCCAGCCCACTGTAGGAGCAGGACCAGATGTTCCCTCAGCCATKCCTGGTGGAATCACACTGCTGCCCTGGTGCATCATAGATCCAATCATCCAGGAGTAATCCACCACTGGATACACACACATGCAGCCTGAACATCTCTAAGTTCCCCTGATCTCCTCACCACTTACTTGTCAGCCTGCCTGGCCCCTTCCACACTGCACACGTTGCTGTTTCCTCATTGCAACTGGACGTGGCTCCTTGCCTCACACCCAATCCAGGCATCTGACTTTGCACCGCCCTGAAACGCAGGACATGCCATGGATTAATGCACAGCAGGACTCTGCCCTCTCCTCTCATTGCGTTTAAAACACACCTCCCACACTGGCGGCTGCTGCTGATAAAACCCACCCCTCTGCTCTGTCATGCTTATCTCTGACCAGCTGCTTTGTACTCCAGAGCCCATGTCCTGCACAGAGGTGTGTGCTCCATGCTTTGGCCTTTGCCCAGCACAGACTGTCAAGCCTGAGAGCTCAGAGCCTTCCACAGCTCTGGCAAAGGTAACACCTCACCACCCCCTCCCTGCTCCTGGGGCACACACCTTCACTCACACCCACTCATCTGATGGCTAAAAGCAGGTACTACACAGGATGTTCATCTGAATTCACGCCTCTGGACAAGGACGGAAGGCTGGAGCAATGATGGGTGCCCAGCTCAAACAACCCAAGAGGCTTTTGTGCAATTGAAAAGGTATTCCTGGGCAAAGAAGGTGAGGAAGAGCACAGAACATTGCAAACCCAAGCTAATGGCTGGGGCACTCTTTATATCACAGCACTTTATGAAGCAGAGATAAAGGGAACTTGTAGAATTAAAAAAAAAAAAGAAAAAAAACAAAAAAAACCACACTGAAGAGTTCATCACATAAAATGCACCTTTTTTCTGCCATGACAAATGCCACTTGAATTAAATAGTTTTTATACAACCCCACAGTGAGAAGAAAGTTTTGCACACTTTTGGCAAGTAATGAGGCAACCCAATTGCAACTAAATCCTGTTAAAGCCAGAATTTCTTGTGACTACATTTACACAAGTAGAACCAGATGGCAGGTTAACAGAGTGGGGTTTAGAACAAGAAAACCCCCCAATTAACAGTACAGCCAAAATTTCCCCAGTAAATGAGAATTGTTAGCCTTTCAGGGAAAAAACAAATATTGTCTTTGGAAACCCAGTCACACTGGGAAGCACTAAAAGTAGAATTCTTTAGTTAAATTAATATCCCTCATCCCTAATATGAGTCTATTTAACCAAAGAAAATGTGTTCTACCATTAATTAAAARAAATTTATTTTAAGATACCAAGAAAAGCTGGTACAGAGGCACTACTGTGTTAAATACCTAACTGAGCACATAGTGCAATAGCTTGTCTGTAAAGACACAGATGGGTGATCTTGTGTAGGTTGTTTTTTTCCTTAGAGATGTTAATTTGACCTGGTAGAGCAAACATGGTTTTGGATAGTTTAAATAAGCCTAAGGCTGATGGTACTTTAAATCTGGATTGGATTTCAGCAAAGGCACTTAAACTCCTCATACCTATCAGGATTTCCTTACTGTACAGCCTGCCATAAAATATAARCAACCCAAAATCTATTTGTGAAATGTAACTTTACATGGGTCTTAAGGTTTTTTTTTAGCTCTGCTGATAAAAGAGGAAAGCATGAAACTGCTCATGGCAGATGGGTCTGATAAAGATTTTGGGTGCTTTTATTGCTKTGTGACAATGTTTCATAGGCAGCCATGCTCTATGTGTTTGAAAGCCACAAGCTATTTAAAATTAATTGTTTMAGAAGTCCTAGTTTCTGTTGTGAAGGAAACACCCATCAAAGCTGTTGGCAAGGTCCTCCTAACAAACATGTCAGTCTGTGTGGACTGGCCTCAGTTTGCATTTCTAATRCTGCCATGGCAAGCAAGGACCAAAATCCTTCAACATGTGTCACAGCAGTTTTCCCCTTGCTGCSGGGCCTCTGTAAAGTGAGTTCTTGGTTTAAATATTTTCTTTTGGCCTTCCTGAGTCACAACTCTAGAGCAAAGGAATGTTCTGATGAATTTGATACAAGAAGAGGTGCTTTATAGACTTTAATGAACTCCAGAATATTTTGGTGGAAGTGGGAATTAGAAGAATTTGAATTGGTGTGTGTCTCAGACTTGGAGTCCCGTAGCAATTCCACAGGGAACAAATAGCTTTGCACAGCCAAGCACAGGGCAGGTGTTATTGCAGGTTGTCCAAAGTCCACCTGGGAGTTGCATGCCACTGGTAAATAGCAGAGAAATGGGAAGGTCTCAAGTCTCACTTTCAGAGGACAGAAAGCACCTCCCAGGCCGTAATGGGGAGTGTTGTTGCTACAGGACGCAGAGCTGTGCTCCCTCCATCCACAAACACTGCACCCTCCTTATCTGCCCAGTGGTTCTCACACTGCCTGGTGATGGTATCTAAAGTGACCCTAGAACAAAACAGGGAGCAGATAAGGACCGGGAGTTGATAAAGATGAGGGCAGGGTTTGTCCTCAGAGCCAGGCTGTTTGCAAGCTTGCTAGCCACCAGGGAAGACAGCTGGCCCAAGGGAAAGCTGCTCACCTGCAGGCTGCAGAGCTTTGGTGCAGGCTGTGCCAAGCCTGGGGACAGCAGCAGTCCCTGCCCTGCACCATGGCAGGCTTTCACTCCTGAAACCTTGGTGTCCCTGTGACTGTAGCCAAGGGAAAGCCTGCCTGTCACTGTGGATTGCTTCATATCCCTGCCTGGCCATGCCAATGCCCCTGGTTCAGCCCCTGTACACAGGCTGGGTAATCAAAGTGGGGCTCTGCTGTAACCCTGGTTTGACCCCCGAAGTTGCACTGCCTCCTGTGTCTGAGCGAGGCTGGGTCCCTTACCAGCGTCTGTGCTTGTGCCAAGTGGCATCAAGTCACCCTGAAGGCTGGAAGACCTCTGCTGGACACGTGCTGAATATTACTGAAGAGTAAAATGCAAACACTGAAAGGGGATTAACGTTTGCATAAGGAAATGTGTATAAAACAGTCCAATGCATTAGGAAATTATCTTGCTCTTTTCCTTCCTTGTATTAAAATACTTATCCTGAGTTTCCAGCTCTGCTTGAGTCATATCATCAGTGACAGAGGATGTAAAGCCCAACTCTTTCTATAACATATTTTTGGTGGAGGTTTATAAGCCACAAGGCTTGTATGGGTTAACTTGTATGGGTTCTCCCCATTCAAGTCCTGGTCACTACAGTCCATAAGCAAAGGCAAGGAATGTACCACAGCAGGATGAGATGTGAGCTCACAGCAAGCACAAGAAGCTGACATAACCCACCAGAAATCCTTTCATATAAGACTCATTTTTGGAGAGGGGGCATGAGCAACRCTGTTTCTCAACATACAGTATGTATATATCAAAACACATCTGTTTCCACAAAAAGATGAGCCATTGCATGGCACCAGAAAAAGTTGTACATCTCATTGACTAGATGTGGCGTG